TGCCGGCGCCCGGCCCCGCCGGCCGGCTTTGTGGCCGGTGGACCCCGTCCGCTGGAGAGCCGGCCCCGGGTGGACGCGGGCGCTGTCCGCGGAAGTCCTCGTGTCCTCTCTGCTTCGGGTCCACGGAGCTGAGAGCGCCAGAGAGCGCGGGACGCCGGGCTGGGGCGCGGGGGCCTGGGCCCGTGGCTGCGGGTGCCGAGGTTGGCCCAGGCCGGGCCCTCCTTTCCTAAGAAGCACTTGGACGGGTCAGCGGTGGGAGGGCAGGTGGCAGTCCCTCCCCACCCCCCCACGGAGGAAGCTGAGGAGTTCGTCCTAAACCATGAGCCTAAAAGCAGCCCCAGCCTTCCGCGGGCCGTCACCCCGCGGGTGGCCCCCAGGGCTGGCAGTGTCCCTATTGTGATCGCCATGTGTTTGGGCGCTGGGGGGTTGTTGAGGCCGAGCTTGCGGGGCGGGGGGGAGGGACGCAGATCCTCCTGCCTCGGCTCTCAGGACGGTTGGGGGGGAGGGGAATCATGCGGGAACTCGGGGTACCTCGGAAAGATGGGGCAGGTCTATTTGTGGGTGAGTGAGGAGCGTGCGGAGGGAAGGGTAGGTAGGAGAAGGTGGCGAAGAGGAAGCGCTAGAAGGGGAGGGGAGGGGGAGGAAGGCTCCTCCCGGGCGCGGCTTTCCCAGGCGGGACCGCGGCGAGAGGAGCCCCGCGCGGGGCTCGGGCCGCCTTCGCTTTGGGTCCCCCGGTTCTCACCCTAGGAGGCCCGCAGGGACCCCTCCGGAGACCCCCGCACTCCGCGGGAAAACGCCTGCTTTCCGAGCACCTGGCCGTGTGGATTTACGGTCAATCCTTCCCGACCCCCAGCCAAGCCCTCGGGGTCCGGGGAGGGGGGAGGGAGACCCCGAAATCGCCATCTTTTGCGGGCGCAGCCCCGACGGCGCGGGGGCCGCGGGCAGGGCCGGGTTGCAGGGATCGGGCCCGCGTGAAGCGAACGGCCGAGGCTCGGACAGCGAGGGCCGAGCGCGCGGAT